AAAGTGGCAAAACAGACTGAATATTTACCATGATATTCTTCACTTATTAAAAGATTTGTGTGTTTCTCTGCAAGCAGAAGATGCTACTCTCCCAGTATATTGGACTCGCATTTGTAATTTCAAAAGAATGATGCATATATTGGTTGAAAGAATTGATAACAACTCCAATAACAAATACACCGCATTTCCATTTGTTCGTTCTGATTCTATCATTGATGTCGATTGTTTAAGAACTACACTTGTAAGAGCAACATTGTATTTCGAAGTTCGTTTTATGTACATTGGAAGCTCTGGAGAAGTTGATTGTGTTGAACAATTCTTTGATTATTTAAACTGTTCAATAAAGGAAGGTGTAGAACCACGTCTTGATATTCAAAATCACTTGGACGAATTACTCGAGTTGTTTTATATCCCAAGTGTTTTAATGAACATACCATCATACCATCAACAATATATTCCCAGATATTTTTTATGTGTTTCTGAAGAAGTTAAAATATTAAAATTTTGTTTGGACCGTCTTGATGATATTGAAAGAGATATTATTCAAAAAAACGCTGGATCAAAATTGCCTCGTACATCATACGATGAAACTTTGGAAACTTTTGTTGGAAGAAAAGAAAAAGTAAGTCTTTTGGATGTGTACGAAATACTTGAAAACAATCAACTTAAAAAATTTGGTTCAAGTTGTTCAGATAACATTGACTGTTTCTCCAACAACAATATTTGTTGAAAGATATTTTGACTTTATTACACAATTTCAAAAACAGATGATGCCAACAAAAAACGCTATTGAAAGAGTAAACTTTTCGTCAAAGTCTCAATCAGTATTTTTAATTCACTGATTTTTATTCTTTTTAATTATTTATAATAAAATATTAAATTCTATAAAAAACAATTAAACAAATTATTTATTAATATTTTAATTTTAATTGTATTATCAAATAATAATTAAAATTATTTTTTAATAATACAAAAATGTTATAAATTACAATTAAAAAATATTGAAAATACACGTTTTTGAAGTTTATTTTTAAAAGTTTTTGAGATAAAATCATATAAATATTTTTTTGTTTTTAAAGTATTTGACAATGAAATTACAATAAAAAATAATAAAATTGTTAATATAAAACAAAAAAAAACTTCACAATATATTATATTTTTATAATACATTACTACACATTAATATCATTAAAAGATTCAAATATTAAATAAAACAGTGATTGATCTGAATTTATTTTATCTATTATCAGTATGAAAAAATTCAACATTTTAACAATATTTTATAATTTATGATAATAACAAATTGAAAACTTATATATTAACATAATAAATGTCGAACAACTATAAAAATTCTTCAGAAATATTTATTTTTACACTTAAAGTTACACAATTAATTATTAATTGACCTTTTATTACAGAAATATTAATTTTAATATCAGATAATTTTGCTCTATGGATTGTGTTATGCAATGCATTTAATTTAAATTTATAAAAATGGATAAATATTTAAAATAACTCGAGATTTATCAATTATATATAAATTGAATTTCGTACAACGTCATTAAAGGTGATAATAATAATTACTTTTTTGTTTATTTTGTTTATATCTTTAAAACCTTCTAACGTGAAAATTTTTTAGTTGTATCATTTGTAGTCAATTAAGTCTTTTTGCGTTAAAGTGCCGACAAAAATAAATTTCTAAATTACCATTTTGTTTTTCTATTACCATTTAAATAACAAAATGTGGAATTCGTGAATTAATGCTTATATACTATTTTATGTCTATTTTTGGACATTTTGCTTATGTTCATTATTTGTATTGAAAATAATCTTTAATATAATTCAAAACAGCACTGGCGTCTTCATGATAAACATTAACATCAATTATAACATTTTTAAACTAATTTAAAAAATTTTTCAATTGAGTATTATGATATCAATTCTCGAACAATAGAGTCTCTCGATTGTTTGTATTGTTTGTTAAACTATTAGCTCTTTGTTTATGTTATTATGTCTTAAATATCGACATTAAAATTGTCATAAACTATAAATAATACCATTTCATGTATAACTTACTTAGTTTGAAATTGTTTTAAAGATTATTATTTTAAAAAATGTATACTTTCAGTTTGTATTGTAATTTATCAAATATAACGTTAAAAAGAGCAAATATAATATTTAACATTATTTTACAGTAAATGTGTAATGGTTTTTAATAACAAATACAGTAAAACCACCAAAGAGCGGTACCTCTGAAGAGCGGGTTCTCTCAAGAGCGAGCATTTTTAGACTGAAACTATAAATAGAGTTCTGTATCGAGTGGTAATTAAGGTTTAATTGGCTAAAAATGCCCGCTCTTGAGAGAACATAATTACACACCCGCCCACTCTTATGAAGTTTTACAGTAACAATAATTGTTGTTATATTAATAATATAATATGACTTTATCATATAATACATGTTGTGTTGATTTGATTTAATTGAAGTTTATATCATAAATTAAATAAAATAAACATTTTATCATTTTTTATGTTTATTGTTATTTTAAAAAATCGTAAGTTATATATTAAAATGACAATCAAATAAACAACACAACAAATTAATAATCAATCATATCCAAACAATAAAATATTACGGACATTTTATATCTTGTTTTGAAAAAAGGTTGATAAGTAAGTTAAAACAAAAAATTACACTTTAAAATTTTTCATTTATTATACATCATAAAAAATTAACTATTTATTATAGGTTTTGTTGAATTTTTTACTGCCAATATTGTGTATTAAATGTATTGATTATTTGTGTCAATTTTATTAAAGTATTTTTTTAAATTAAAATTGAATAAACAAACACTGTTTATAAGATTTAAACGACAACATATGAATATTTAAATATTATTTAAAATAATAATAATAATGTATATTAAAGTTGTTATATTATTGTTGTTTAATTTTATTTAAATTTTTTAATTATAATTCTGCGTTTTTAAACTGATAAAGCATGTTTATTTTTTGTGTAGAATAATAATTATTTTTAATTCAATTTAATATTCAATATAGATTATTTTACTTTTAATTAAAATTAATAAGTTACTGTTTATTTAAATTAAACCCTAAAATGTTTTGTTTTGTTTGTTGCAATTGGATTATTCCACAAACCTTCAAACCAGAAATTATTGTAAAAAAAACACGAAAAACAATTCGAATAATATATTAATAAATTTATAAAGTTGTTTTACATTTACTAAATATCAATTTGCTTCATCAAATATTAAAACAATCAAAATCCAATTAAATTAATCAAAATATATAGTAAATATTGATAGTTTGACTATTTAATTTCCATTTTCTTTTACTTATTATTAATCTTTTTGTAATTGTTAAAGCGATTAATTCTTTTGTTTCACCATATTAAATATATATTAATTATTATGTGTTATTTAAAAGTCATATATTTATAATTAATACGTATTTTACAGTTCAATTTTAATTGCCATTTGGCGTTTTGATATATCGTTTTTCAAAACAATTAAAATCAAATCCAAATTTAACATTTAACCCCCTTTGTTTGCACGCAAAATAATATTTTTTGTTCAAAAATTAATAACATAAACACAGAGTTGTTGATTACTGTTTTATTTTGCGTCGGTTATTGATTATTTATATTTTATTGTTTTCATAAAAAAACTATTTAAAATTATTTCAGAGATCTTTTTTTTCCTAGTATTCTAAAAATATACATTTTGTACAGATTTTTCTAAAAAAATTCTTTTGTTGCAAGTGAATATTGTGCCTTATGTTATGCTCATAATCGGGTAAGTAAAACATCATTTTTTATCGTTGTTTTTTTTAAATATTTTTTTTATAAAAAAACACTAAATTCATAAAAAAAAATTGGTTTTCGTTAGTTCGAAATTATGATGTTTTATCAATTGTCTTATTTAGCCCGATATATCTGATTTTATCGACTTGACAAGTCGAATATTATAAATCATAAGACAAATTATATTCAAGTGTTTGAATTATGATAATCATACAATTCTTTGTTTACAATCCAAAAATGGACTCAATTTCGAAAAGAAAAATATAAAATGATATCGATTTAATTAAATTGGTGTGTATATCAACTTAAATTATGTATAAAATTATTATTTTGTAATACACCTTTCATTATAATAGATGTTAATAAACTGATAAATATATTGATGTTACTTTTTTATACGATAATATTTTGAAGATCAATTATATTATCGAAAATATCATGTTATAAATTTGTATCAATTTTAATCATTAAATTTATGTAATTAAATTAATACATCTTGTTTAGTTTCATCAATGTATTTTTAAAAATAAACGAAATGTTTCTGTTTTTTGTTGTTTTTTTATAATAGTTAATTTACTATATATTGAAATTAAAATGATTATTTTATTTTGGGAAACAGTCTTTTTATCATTTTCGTAGTTTTTTTGTTCCAAAAATATTAATAAAATCATAAAACTAATAAATTATAATTAATAATATTAACAATTATACTATTGGTTTTTACACTAAAATATTTTAATATCGAATGTGATTATAAACCATAATATTTAATTTAATAGATAATATATTTACTATATATCTGATGATTATTTAAAAGGAAATTGTCATTATTTTAGTATTTATTTTTGTGAATTTTGGTTAATGGTAACATAAAAATAAACACCATTTGATAAAAAGATATAAAAAATAATTTTAAACTAAAACATATATTAACTTTGCTTTTAATCAAAAAATTGGTGAAATTTTCAAATATTTTTCAAATTTTTTGGTTGGAACCTCTTTTGAAGAAAAAAATGTGTTTTTATGGGAGAGAGTTAACACTAGCTCCCTGTTTTTTTAAAACAAAAATTCGGCAAAATATGGAAACGCCTGATTGTGTGCCGACCCATGCATTAAACTAATTAGAATTAATATGATTAATTTTGTTCTTTTTACATTGCTTGCAAAAAAAATGTTGTAAATACAATAGGAGGAAATAAAGTGATGCTATAGAAAGTAAAATTCTCGCAAATATTGGTTATTTTCAATACAAAAATGATATTAATAATGATTTAAATAATCAATAAAATGAAAAACACCAAAATATATTTATTTTTAGATTAACATCCTTCTTTTTAATCTCTAGTTCAATAATGTTTCTGGGCATATAATATAAAAATATAAATATTAAAAATTTTTATTGTTATTAGTTCATCTCAATTTAACAATAAACTTAAATTTTTATTAAACCCCAAACATAAAAATGTAAATAAATTGTTAAGAATTATAATATTAGAAATGCACGAATATTCAATGCAAAAATATTTTTGCCCGAATATTTTATCCGTTCACCTTGGTTATAATGTTTCTTTCAATTTAAAGTTTTTTAATGTACGGTAAATTGATATTTTTCATATCAATTTAACACGTTTTGAAGTCACTGAAAGTGATTTTGTAAATTTCTCTTCTGTAAATTTTATTTAATACTTTTAAAATCAAGATGTTACAATGTGTTTTCTTCAATTGATAATTTGAGTTTTGACGCTTTTAAATATCTGTTTTATATATCACATCTTACAATGAATTTCATCTAAAACTCCGACACTCTGCTTTGAAATATGTTATATTTTGTTTTATCAGTGTTTGTAATTATTTTAAACATTATTTGTCGACAATATTTTGCGCATTTTCAAATGCATCTTTCTGTTTACAAGTTAATTGGTTGTTGTAAAATATCATTTTTGTGATAAATTGCAAATTTGGATTATCCACAATGTTAAGAAAGTCAGAAGGAATAAAAGAGTCAACTATGACTACTTTTCTGACGTTGTGCAATTGGTATTAATCACTAAGACAATCCCAAATATTTTAACGCAAATATTTTTCACTTGAAATTTTTATGAATTGCATTTTTATTTTTTAGAAAGAATATAGTTATTTTTTGATTTATTTTTTTGAATTTTTATTGTTGTTTTCTTGAGACAGTGTGAAGTTTGTAAAACTTTGCCTTTTAATATTTTAACAATTATTATTAATTATTTATTTTGAAACAAACCAAATCTATAAAAAATAAAATATGGTACGATTAGAAACGGTTTATATGATGAATGTTGTTTTATATTTCCGTCTTTCGGATTTAAAAAATTTTATATTCGTTTCCAAAAAGACATCCAAATGTTGTTCATCACTTTACACCAATCCATGGTCTAATGAACTTTCTACTGAAAAATCATTAACACTTATCCAAAAGTATTTTCCTTCAATTGAAACTTTAAACATTCCCAATAAACTTGTTGATTGTATACCAAATACTTTCAATAAATTTGTTTTAATTAACAATTTTTTGGACAACAATTCATATTATTATCAACAAACAAATACACAACAATACATTTGTTCAACTGTATTTTTATTGGAAAAAAATGATATTAATTGGATTAAAAAGTATAATAATCACGATACCATTTATGTCACTAAAATAGTGATGAATGGTTTTACAATAAATGCCATCAAATCAGGTGTATGGAGTGGATTCCCAAACTTAAAAATAGTCAGAATTCAACATTACAAATCATTTACTAAATTACTTAATTTAATTAACACATTGAAAAGTAAAAAGATCCCACACAACATTCAAGTAATTATCGATATGGATTATAATAATATCGATATTAAACATTTTAATGTAGACGACTCTAATTTACGAAAATTAGTTGCGTTGTTACCAATGAATTATTCACTCAATGTTAAATGGACGTATTGCAACTTCATATTTTCTAAATTTTTTTCAAACAATTATTTCGATTTTGAACATTCACAAAAAGATTATGATCAATTATATTTTAGAAGTCCCGTCAATTTTATTACCAACGGCGACTATTCAAATTTTACGGATGTAAGAAATGCACATATTTATGCACCCTGTGTTGTTCTGCCTCAAATAGTGAAGGAAATAACACTACATGGTGATAACACTAATATTGTTAACATTAAACATCTTCCAAAATTGACTAAAATTACAAAAACCAACTCAGCAAAACTTCCACTCTATTTGTTTGACAAATTGTCTTTTGAAAATTTAAAAATAAAAAATGTGAGTTTTTTGTTGTTGCTGTTATTCCCATTGTTTACAATATCCAAATTTGTATATTTGTGGTACACACAAAACTTGACTTCTGCGATACTATCTTCCAAAGTAGAGAGCGTTTATACAACTGAATTTGCGTTGTTGGGATGTTTGCTCGTATTTGTATTTATGGGAATATATACTATCGTTAAAAATGTTAAAAATTGTTTGGAAATTGCATTTGTATATTCTTTTGTTTGTCTTTATGTCATATGGTTATTTGTCGTGTTTTACAACAATCAACATTTTGTAAATAATTTGTATGTTATTGGCATCTATTCATTTTCACTCTCAACTGCATTTTATTACTTAGCAAAATACTTATTTTTTGTATACAATGGATATGTTTTTTCATTAAGTGAAGTTGTGTACTATTACACAAAAACAAAAATAGCAGCAGTGCTATGTTATAGTTTTGATGAAGAAATGGAAGCACTAATTTCTTTATTTCTCTTCCTTGGAGCTTTTGCTCTGTTTTGTTTTCAAATGTTGTTCTATACAAGTTGGTTTAATTGGATACCATTACTTGTACCAATTTTAGTTGTGTTGTGGTACATATTGATGTTGTGTATTGGAGGGATTATTTGGTTATTTGGAAATAAATAAAAATTATTTGATTTTTATATCATAAAATAATAAAAAAAAATTGTTTAAAACATTTTTAAAACATTTGAATGTTTAACATTCAAAAAACACTTCCTGTTAAAGTTTATTTTAAATACACATTTATTTTTTTGGGGGAATTGATTTTTCATTTTATAATATTTTCAATATAGTAAATCAAACTATATCATTAAATTATAAAAATAATGAATTTCCCACCATGTGCAGATAAATACAATAAAAAAGCATGTTTTATATTGAAATAATTTCTTGTTGATGCATTACGTCTGTTTTATTTATCGAAATCATTAAACATATATATGTTAACACCAGTTATTAAAATCAATGTTACACCATAATCAGTATCAATTATCATTACAGTTTGTGGTAATATTATTTACTAAAAATACCAAACTTTTAAAACTGTGTAAACATCAGTAACAAATTAGTTTTCCACCCATATGTGGATAGCATTCAATAGTGCTGTTGAGTATTTATAACACGTACTTTGGTTGAGTTTTTCATTTGTTAAATAATTTAAATGGTATCTATTAGTTTTCAAACTAAAAATCAAACTAATAATATGAAACTGATTAAAAAATAAAAAATGTTTTTGACAATCAATAAGAAAAGTGCGTTGTCGCTTTGCTTGGAAGTATTTTTGCATTAAGTGGACTCTCAAAATGATGATGTTTAAATTGTATTGCGATGTCTTCTATTCTCTGTGAAAATTTATCACACAAATTCCACCTAGTTTATTTGATAATTCAAAAAAAGGAGGATGAAAAAACACAAATTGTTTAACTCCATTTTGTACTTTTGTGTGTTTTCACGAAAAAATCATAAGCTTTGTGAGTAATATCTTCAAAATTATTTTGACAAATCATGCATTTTTTATACGACTTTAAATAAGAAAAAAATTTGGCCGATGATGTCCATGTGTCAGAAATTGAAGAAAACAATGACGAGTTAACGTCGATTTTCAAAGCAACTGTTTCTGGTTTGTTTTTTATGAGACATTGTTTATATGTGATACTACTTGACGATAGTTATGTTTTTTTGATATTTTAACTTCAACTGTGAATTGCTCAGAAATAAGACTTAAAAATGGAAAGCAAAATTCAATTATGTTACTTAAATATTTGTTTGTTTATCAGGTTTTTTCGTGTGTATTACAGTACACATTACCCTCTTTTTTGACTCAATTAAATTATGTTTTAAAACGTAATTATTTCAAAAACATTTTATGCAAAAACAATTTTCAAAGAAAAAACGATGTTTTTTTAAGTGTTAACACATTACGTTTAAATTAATTCGCCGCTTTTTAATCGTCACTTGTTTATAAAATTTATATCTAACAACAAAAACATAAAATAGTGTAATGTTCTGTTGAAGCAAAAATTTAATATATATTAATGATTTTTTTTAACAATTAAATTGTACATATTTATTCCTTGAATTTTTTTTTACAATTTTAAGTAAATTTTATCATGTTAACAAAAACATGATAAAACAAATTTATATATTAATTAAAATTTGTTATTTAAAAATAATTTGTTTATAAAATTACATCAATAACAAATGAAATGTATGATAAATACACAAATTGAATGAACTAACAAAATAGTGATTGTTACTTTGTTGTAATATATTTTATTACAAATATTGTTTTAAGTCACAATTTTTCATGTTAAAGTAATCTTAATGTTAAATAAACAAATACCAATTAATTCCAATGAATCAAGTCACCCTCTTTATTATAAGCGCACTCCAATTTGTTTTATTGTTTATTTTTGTGTATTGTTATAGTGTAAACACAAATGGTATTTTGAAGGTGATCAAAAATGACACTCCAATTATTATTTCAGAAATGAAGAAACCCAACGAGTTAAATGATGTATATACTTTCAAATTTACACAACCGACTTATGCAAACAAGGTAATTAATATGAGTAACTTTAATTATGATGGAAAGTGCAGAGAAATATTCAAATACCATGCAAACAACAAAAGGGATTTGTTTATTACTGCTGTTGGCTTTTCGGGTTATAAAAACAAATACTGGTTAAATAACAAGAAAGAAATAACAACTATAATGGCACTGGCAAACGACTCTTTTCCAAATGCCAAGAGACTTGTTCTTTTACTACCAGGAGAAGAAAACAAAGACTTTGAAAATATCACTAAAAGTTATGGTTTTGAAATACAGAAAGGATTTATACCAAATATCACTTATATTAAAAAGTGCCTTCATCCCGTTTTAAGGTACTTTGCTTTTCAAAAGTATATAACAGAAAATAGAGAAAAATATGACAGAATAGTTATAGCCGATCACAGGGACGTTTTCATATTTGCAGACATATTTCAAACATTTTCATCAGACGATTTAATCTTTGAAGCAGAGTGTGGAGTCAAAAATTTGAAGTGTTTGGATTTTAAACAAAAACATTTACACAGGTGGATGAAAGAAACGTATGGCATAAATGTAGCAGATCAGTATAAAAATAACGGCTCACTCAATTTAAATGTTGGTGTAATGCTTGGAGGAACTGATAGAATAATAAATTATTTGAATCTCATGGTAGATAATTTAAATAATACGAAATGGCAGATTTGGGGACACGACCAGACAGTACACAATATGGTATATTATTCATATTATTACCAAAAAGAAAATGTGACTTTGGAATTGTGTACACAAAGAAAGTGCTTTGGAGGATACGATTTGGAATATGACGGAGAAAAAAAAGATGTTAAGAAATATAACAAGTCATTGCTCTCCGGTACTAAAACATAAAGTTGATCATAAAGTGTATTAAACAAATCAAAATTATTTAAACTTTTGTTTTTTTAAATATATTTTTTACAATTGTAATAAAGTTTATCATAAAACAATGTACCAGTTAACAATACATTTTTAGAAACACAAATAAAAGTCAATTACATTTGAATTAAATAGAATTTCGAAAGATTTCAAACAAAATCAAATTGTATTACAAACAAAATTCTGACATTTTGGATTAAAAAGTAAGAAAATTTTATTTCAAAATATATTTAAAACAGTTTTCTTAGTTTTTAAAATTAAATATTATCAACTAAAATACTTATTACAACTTTTTAACGACTAACTTCGAATTATAAAGTTAACAATTGGTATTATTTTATAATTTCAGTATAATAAATATTGATTTTGTTTTATTATTTATTTTTGATTTCTAAACAAAAAGTTGGTTTCAAACAAATAATATCATTACAACGTTGTTACAAAATAATTAAATTCAAAATAAAGCATCAATTAATTATAAATTGTATGTTTAATAAATATGCGAATTAATACATACAGGGGAGATAAAAACCCGTTTTTTAAAAAAAAAGAAATATTTTTTCTCGATCCTCAAAGGGTTAATATGATCATTTATTTTTGACACTATTAGACGATATTTATTATATTCACATTCAAACAACTCAACAGTAAAATCACATAACATACAAAGCAAGTAAATTAACTATTCTATCAATAGATACTCTGTTCGTTTTTTCTTGTACCCAGCACATTTCTATCCCTTTAAACAGAGTTTCTGTGATATTCTCTCTTCTTTCAAGACGTTTTCCCGATATAACAAATTCTGCTATTTTCCATGGAAACTTAAATGTGTCAAGTGGGTACGCTTTACACCATCCAAACACTTCAAACATAGTAACACCAAACGAGAAGACGTCTGCGCTTTTTGTGTATTTTTCCTTTTTCAAAACTTCAGGCGCCATGTACACTGGTGTTCCGATACCTTTTGTGAATGTCATATTAGTCATTAATAAGTTGATATTTCTGGCACTTCCAAAATCAGTCAATTTAGCATTCACTTTGTCATTTATATTAAGTGAAAACACTAGTATGTTGTCTGGTTTGATGTCTCTGTGTAAGATCCCATTTTCGTGTAAATACAAAATTCCCTTTGATGCATCTCTCATCATTTTTACTCGCATTTTCATGTCAACTTCATTACTTGTTTTATGTTTCATTAAATCTTGGCAACTTCCATATTGTGCAAACTCGGTGACCATACACACTTTATTTGGTACAAACACGGCTCCATAAAAGTGGACAATGTACTCACTTCTAAATTTATCAAGCATTTCAACTTCCTTCTTAAATTCCTCAATTGTATTTTCTTTATTTGAGTTGTCAATTTGTTTCATCTTTTTGATTGCAACAACATTTCTTCTGTAAGTTCCTTTGAAGACAATACCAAAAGAGCCTTCGCCAAGTTTCTTCTCAGTTTTGATTTCGTCGTAATCAAGACGTGTTGATTGCTCCACCAGTGCTTTGATGTTAATAAAAGTCGTGTTTTGTTTACCATTATGTAAATCAAGTGATACAATCACAACTTCATCACTCAAATCCATTGTGCAATATGGCGTTATAAAGACTTCAAATTCACATGCAAATCCACTCTTCAAAGTCACTATTTGTGGTTCTGTGCGAATTTTGTATTTGTCGCATTTGTCTTTTGTTGTGATTTGAATCTTCGTGTTACCTTTAGACGAGTTGCCAACACACAACAATTCACGACTTTCACTTTCAATTTGTATTTTGTTATTTTCATTTCCAAATAATATTTCATTTTTGTTTGATAGAATGTCGCCATCTAATTTGGTCATCGTAATATTGGAGCGACTCATCTTGAAGACACAAATATTTTCAGTGTGTTTGTTATCTTTCTTTCTCAACACAAACAGAACAACAATTGTTATAATTGTGACAATTATAACAACAAGTACAATTACACACACAATTGGAAGACCAACAACGATACCATAATTCGTGTTTGCAAAACACTCAATTTTGTCGTCACTCAACTTGTAGCCATCTGCACACTCCCAACAAAGGGAGTTTTGTGATGAAATGCAGTTTGGTATTTGAGAAAAGTGAACACAAACTCCGTCTTTCAGAATGTTGTTATCACCACATTTTGAACACTCAAAAGTGGCATCACAATATGTGCAGTTTTCACTACATTTGTAACACAAATTATCTTTCGGTGCAAAACCACCTTCACATAGTGTGCAGCCACTTGTTGTTTTGTTCAAACAGTTGTTTAATTCTGTCTGTGGGTTGCACAACTTAGTGTTGTTGTTCGGAGTTCTGTAATATCCATCACTACAAACAACACAATCACCATCATTGGAACAAGTTTTACACGACGTGTCACATCTAACACACTGCTTGCCATCACTTGATCGCATGTACCCATCTTTGCACGCAACACACCCCTCGAATGTCGACATCATCACATCACAAGTACTTAATATTTCATTGATTTCAAAACACTTGCCATTCCTGGTGTACGAGTATGCATCACACTTTGTGCAGTATGTCAAATTCGAGCATTGTGTACAGGGGTACTCACATCTCACACAGAGTGAATTAATTATGTAATACCCATCTTTACATCGCATACACCCCTTTGGACTTCTCAACATGCAGTTGTCTGTCGTTGTTTCACTTTTTAATTGTAAATTGAATGCTTTTAATGTGTTGGTATCATTGTCAACACATGAATTGTCAACAAGAAGATATGATTTGTTGCACTCCAAACACGACGACATTACAACACTCACATGCTCACAGTCTTTGTATTTCTCTTGTTTTGGCAAACACCCAGTCGTGTCTTTGTAATAATCATCATCACATTGCGTACAAACACCACCAACAAACTCTTTACAGTTGATTGAATCGGTTGAAACGCACTTCCCATCAACAGCCATTTTGTTGTTACACCCAATGCAAATTACCCTGTTTTGAATTGCACATTCATTGTCATTGGAAACACATCCACCACTTGCAATGTGATAGTTTTGTTGGCATGCAGTGCACTCACTGTTATTAACTATACCACACTTTATATTTTGTGAACATAAAACATTCGTTGTCATTACAAAAGAACTTTTACATGATATATCGACTTTATCACCATCAATTACTTGACAGATCTTTGCATTTTCACAACTTGTAGTTTCCCCATTGATATTAAGTGTCGTGTAAAACCCTTCATTCGCCGAATAACAAAACTCGTTTTGTGTATATCTACAGTTGTTGACTTTGGTGCCTTCTTGTGTGTCGTTGTTGTATATCAAACAAGATATTTGGTGGTATTGAGTAATTTGATATTTGCACATATTTCCAATTGAACAATCGCCGTTTGTTGTAATGACGTTTTTAGAACAGTTTTCGCATGTTTTTATTGAAAAATTAAAGCAACTTTCATCTTGTTTTAATACACATTTTCCATCGACTAAAATGTGGTTTTCATCACACATAAAACAAAAAGAATTCACTTGGTGGAGACAGCCAACATCATTTAAATCACTTTTTAATGTTTCTGAGTTAAAATGTGTTGTGTTTGAATATCCAAGAACACACACAAATTTATCATTATCAATAATATAAGGCGCATAACATTTTGTACACGATTGACTCCCGTTGTTGTATTCACACAGTTGGCAATTTGCAATTAATTCATAACAACTCATACACCCGTTTGAAGTGACTTTCACTTTGCCTTCTTCGCACGATATACATTTTTCACCAACAGTAATATATTCATCAGAACATGTCAAACAGTCATTACTTTTTGGTGAGCACTGCACGCAGTTTGTAATTAGTGAACACGTGTAACAGTTGTTATTTTTTAAATAATACCCACTTACACACTCTACACACTTTTTCTCAGATTCGAATTCATTTGCACCACATGAGGCACAATTATCGTTTAATGAACATGAAACACACTCTACATTTCCGGTGGTTTGGTTTGTAACTTGTTTAAAGCCAGACTGACATGCTGTGCATATCCCACTTTCTCTATAACAATTTATACACTCACTTGGACATGGCAAACACGATGATGTACCACCACTTGAATAATACCCATCAACACAAATTTCACAGTTTGTATTGTCCGTGAATTCATATCCAGCATAACAAGTCAGGCACTTGCCACTGATATTATCACACGTTTCACACTTGATATCACATGAATTGCAATATGTTTGTCCTTCATTTGACTGATACGTTTTGTTGTCACATTGTTGGCATTTTTTGTTTGTTGTATTTGCATACATTCCAAATAAGCAAATGTTACAATTAAACGACTCATCCAATCCATACCCAGAAATGCAAGTTATGCAATTCCCATTTGTCTTGTCACATGTTAAACATGTTAAACTGCATGACAAACAATTTGATGATCCTTCTGTGGAATAAAAACCATTTCCACAAGGTGTACAATACGTTGATTGACTTATTGAATACGTTCCAGCTGGACAGACATCGCATGTGTTTGTTTCTTGATTTGCTGCTGTTCCAGATTTACATTGAATGCAGCGATTTTCTGATAAAATACAACCGGACATACACGAAAAGCAGAATCCACTTTCTTTCTCACACGAAGTGCAATAACTGTTGCATTTTCTACATGAAATTGAAGATGTTGTGTTTGAATAATAACCATCACTACATTGAGTACATTTTTCACTTCCTGGTATATTTGAATATGTTCCTATTTGACAGGGAATACATTGAAAGCCATCTCCATACGTCCCAACTACACAATCATCACAACTATAATCGTTTATAAACTGCCCATTCTTACATAAGGTGCAATACCCATTAGTTTGGTCACACTTAACACATGAAGAACAATTCATACACATCGAACTATTTGCAAAAGAATACGTTTGATCTGGGCAACTTAAGCACCTATTTATGTAGAAATATTGACCAACCGGACAACTCTCACAAATACCATTTGAAAGAAACATATTTTCATGACAACTCAGACAATTCCCATTTGTAGAATCACATGTTTTGCACATTGAATTACATGAGGTACAAGAATTACTTCCAATTAAAGAATATTGATTAAACCCACATTTTGAACATGAAGTTGTACCACCTTCAGAGTAATAGCCGGCTTTACATTGTTCACAAATACCATCAGATACAAAGCCACTACCAATTGAACATGAAGTACACTTCCCAGTTGTTGAGATACACGAAGTACACGTGGTACATTTTATACATGAAGAAAACCCACTTAATGAAAAATAACCATCTTCACATTGTGTACACCTCGAAGATCCAGATGAGGAAGAATAAGTGCCAGGACTACACTTACTACATTCTGATGAACCCATATATGAATAAGTTCCAGCAGAGCATTTTGTGCAACTTTCTTTGTTGTCTCCATTTGAATAAGTCCCCGGTCCACAATTAACACAAGCAGAAGAAGCCAATTCTTGTGAATATTGTCCATCTGGGCAAATAACACAGATAAGAGCACCACTTTTTGAATAATAACCCTTTTGGCAAGCATATTTATTTAGTCCATCTGGGCAATAATATCCAGCGTTACAAAGAGCACAATTATAATTGGTAGGGTAATACCCCAAATTACAACTCAAGCATGTGTATATGATGTTTAGGTGAAGAAATAATTTGAAGACCAACATAAATTCAAATTTAAGATGTGCATTTTAGTTTCATTTTTTGTCGATTTAAATTTATTTTTTAACATTAAAACTTATGTGAAACCTTGAGGCTTATTCGATTTTTCAAAATAATTATAATTATTATTAAAAAACTAAACTAAATAAAATTAAATAATATCAAAAGTTATTTTAATTATATCCACTTTCAAAAGAAAAAAACGCTTTCGTCTTTTTAACCGCTTCCTATTGATTTAATAGTTATAACTAACAACATTATAATAAAAAGAATAATACAAATTACCACCTCAAACAGAAAAAGTCTTTACGGGCAAATTCAGCCTTTGTGGTAAATAGTACCATACATTTTATTATACCAATGTTATTTAAATCCATGAAGTCAAGTGGAAGCGGTTTTTATACCCCCCTGTTTTGTATTTTTCTTTATATATATACATATTTTATAATTAAACAGAACATTAAAATGAAAAGTCATTTAATTGGGTAATTGTTAATGCACTCAATAAAAGTTTGTTCTGTGAGTGACATCGAAGCGCACAAAAAGTCTTTTTTAGTATTTCCATTGAAAGTGTGTCCTCCATGTTCTCCAAAGTGCATTTTCCAGACATTAAAAAGTGTTTCATTTCTTTCCAAATTTGTCAAAAATGTTTTAATATGAGTTGTATCCCATTTATCAATACCATATTCTTTAAGTGTTTCATATTCCAATTTCCACTCAAATTTTCCTTCCAAATTGCACTTTTCGATATCCAAAAAGTATTGTTTCCACCCGACAACGCTATTCTCGTTTAATTCAAGGAGTCTAAATCTTGGATCCAGTGTTGCCTTAGTAGTCATTGCGGGGTTAACAATGCAGTGGTAATATGCTGTGTCATACGTTGGATATATCATGAGCGAGTCGTAGTGCAAATGTCCGCACAAATGTGTTATAATGACATCACTATAGCTTCTCATTAATTCATCAAAATCAGTGTTAAACTTAGGCGCCAAATCAACGATGCCAGTGCTCTTCAATCCGATGCACTCGTGTGATAAAATAACTATTTTTTCATTCGCTTTTTGTGCTAATTGTAAAGTCTGATTGAACCATTGGACCATCCCAGCTGGGTCGGTAGTCGCATAATCGCCACAGTGGACACCATACATGTCCATATACGCAAAGTTCATCGAAACGAGACGGATGTTAGGTTCAAGCAATTCACTGTAATATCCACCTTTTCTAAAAAGTTCCAAAGAACGTTCAGACAACCATGGTGAAAATAAGTCGCCCATGATGTTCAACATCCATTCACTTCGAGGGGGAAAATCCCAATTACTATATATAAGTCAAATTATTTATTATTGATTGTATTTTAACTATTTTAATAGTTTATTATATTTTATTTATAAATACTATATAATAATATTATTATTTTTTTATTAATTATTATAATATATTAATATTTTATTAATATTTTTTATTAATTTATAATATAGTTAAAAAATAGTTTAATATTTTATTAAATATTATTATATTATAAATTATTTATTATAGTTTATAAATGAAAAGTATACACAAACCTGTGAGTGTAATAATCGTGCTGTTTTGTTATTTGTTGTTTTTTATAAGCAATTATTTAAAGCACTTGTGTAATATATCATAAAATTTAATATTGTAATATTATTAAAGTAGTATTACGACATTATGATTGTTGTTACTAATATAACAATAATATAATCAATATTTTTATATCAAAACAAGTATTTTGAATATAAATAAGTAAACAAATATTGTTTCTTGCTCTTGTAATAAAATTATTTCAAAATGATAACCATTAAATAAAATAAACAATTAAAAAAAACATTAAAAAATAAATAGAAAATTTTTTGAATAAAATAAAATGAAAATTTCGAATTTAATTTAAACTATTTAAATGGTTTATTTGTTAATACTAAATTATATATGTATTTTTAATAATTTAATTTATTATGTTTTTATATATACAGTATGTGAGAAAAGTATGTGAGAATGAGAAAACCCTGTGGATTCAACAAAAATTACATATTTGTTTTTCTTTTTTTAAATAAAAATGTTTTTCTTTAAAAAAAACAATCTAAATAATATAATTATGAGCTCCAGGAATGTTGCTTTTAGTGGCTTAGACCATACAACACTTGAAAAGAATTTAAAGTATTGTCCTGGTCCAGTGAAAGAAATAGCCCAAAGAACATTCAGCAAACATTGCAACTTTTTGAATTGCCCCTGAATGTTCAGGTGTATTTGATGAACATTGAGAGAGAAATGTTCAATGGAATGAATACGGAAAAGGTGACCGAGAGTAAACTATGTAGAGTCTTTGCTTTAACTTCAAGTCAGTTTAATATCAACAAACGAAGAGGTATGGAGACGGCATTGTTTGGAAAAAAAGATAACGGAAGACCGTCACTTTTAACTGAAACACAATGGGAAATTGTCAAGAATTTGATTCTTGATAATGAAAAGTTTCCAGGAAAATGCAAAGCTATCAGCATAACTTATTTGAGGTTGTTTATAATAAAAACCTTCAACATTGATGTGTCAAACCACATTATTTATGATAAAATACATAAAAATTGGAACTTTTCGATTGTTACTGTGTTTGCTGAAGACCAATCTCGATTGACCTACGACGAAGATGCCGTGTTGAAGTATTACATTGCACTGCCACTTTTTTTAAATGGCATCCCATCACAATTTATTTTGAATTTGGATGAGTCAGGGTATCAGCCATGGCCAGACAGGCAAATGGTGAAGGGAGTATTCACTGCTGGTTTTTCCACAGACAGTAAAATGAAATATGGAGTCGAACGTGACATTGCTCGATCCACTGTCGTTTGCACTATTACCCCCTCACAACCTCTTCCTTGTATGATTGTAACAAAATACAAAAGAGTTGCAGTTGAATTCTTGAAATTGGGTTGGATGGAAACGGGAAACATCGTCAGTTATAGCAAAAATGGTTTTATCAACAGTGACTTATTTATACAATACATCAACGACGTTGTAGTACCTTATATTGTCGACATGAGAATTAAGACTGGTTATATTGATAAGGCCGTTCTGATATTTGATCAGTGCACGTGCCACTCAATCGAAGATGTGAGGTTGTTGCTCAAGTCGAATGTCCAAGTCAACGAGAAAATCATCAACATGAACTGTGAAATCGTATGTTTGGTGCCTCACACCTCACATTTAACACAACCATTAGATGTTGGGGTGTTTGCAGCCCAAAAAAGAAGACTGAATTCGTTGTATGCTAAGTTCAGAGATGTCATAAAAATTAAAGATAGAGTTGGCGAGGAAGAAACAACAACGACAGAAAGTGAAGACGTTGAAGAAAAAGAAGAGTCGGATGATGTGATTGGAAGCCAAGATCCCATTGAAGAACCAATAATACCTCAACAGTTTAAGGAAATGTTTCAGGAAGTGCTGGCAAATCCACAAGAAGCGATATCACCATTTAAAAAGAAGGCTGGTACGACTGTCAACGAAAGGATGGTGGATGACAACCAATCAGAAGATCGCAACGAAATACCAAATGAAACTAAAATTGTTGAATTCGGTGATGGAGAGGACTTAGAAAAAAAGTTTGCCAAATACCTCAACTCAATTCTGAAGTCTTATTCCAAACAACCACTCCGGATGTGTGCACGCAGGCTTTTAGGCAAGTTGGTATTGATTTCAGAATTGTTGATAGTGGTATGAGGGTTGCGTATGTGGATATTGGAGTGTCACGCAGAGTAACAGCAGAAATACCGAAACTGTTAAGTATACCACAGTTATACTCAATTGAATGCGTCAAAACCAAAAGCTTGAAAATATCTGCAGTTCGAAAGCTTTCAATGTGTTTTGAGGGTTATTCGTGTCAGTCTGTTTGCAAGCCGTTAAAAAGAAAAGAACGGGATGTTGTATGTAAAGTTGTGAAGAAAAAGACGACCAAAAAAATCTCAAAAAGAACTAAAAATGGGGTTGAGAATTTAATCGATTGATTTTTATCTTTTTAATCAGTTGTATCGCCCAGTTCACATTACTGTTTCCTATCACAGGTCAGAATGGTCACTGTTTGAATCAACATATGTCTGAACTATCATAAGTCCTTCCAATAGAAAATATTCGTTTGTTAAACTTTCTTTCGTTATTGAGATAATAACTTGTAGAACTTGCTCGCAAAAACTCTTAAATTAAACGTTGCCTGCTTTGAATCGTCTAGCTGCTATGGCTGATTTGTCCAGTATTCCTGGGATTCTTTAGCGTGAGGTCTGAGTCAATTAGTTGGTAAGTGCTGGCTGGCTGTTCACACTCTGAAAGCTGCTTTGTAGGTTTCCAAACAAATTGAAAGAGAAAATGAACTGTAAATAAGTGATTTTTTTATTTGATCTTTTTGAATTTTTTGAAATAAAAAAATAATAATTTTATTACATAAAAGTTACACAATTGTAACTTTTGTTGAATCCACAGGGTTTTCTCATTCTCACATACTATTCTCACATACTGTATATATATAAATTGCATTTATAAAAAAATAACAACAAACGTTTCCAGGTGTTGGGAATACTTTAAACCCGGGCAACCTTTTTTGCAATTCTTGTGCTTGTGTTTGAATGTGATAAACATTTCTTTCTTTTGTTTGGCCTAGTTGAGAACCCGGGAGAGTATCCATCATCCAAAATACAACAGAAGATTCTTCTTTATGTGAATAAATAAAATCAAAAGCTGTTTGTGAGACATTAAGTGGTGGGTAGCAGTTATAATGTCCACAAGGGCCGGATGTGTCCAATTTTTGGCTTTTACTCGGTTGACTGTCTTCATGACAGCAGTCTATGTGTGGGCAATAACTGTATGAACCAACTTTATAATCTTTATCAAAATGTGTATCTGTGATCACCCAAGCTTTAAAAGCAAATGAAACAATGAAGAACACAAAGTAGAAAAGAAGCATCGAAATAAATGTTCCAATTTTCAAGTTTTATATGGTTAAAATATATAAACCTAAATCATATTTAAAACTTTATAATTTGGTTCGTTTGTTTATGATTTGTATTATCATTTTTTATTTTTTTTATTAAATAAATTGAAAACAAGTTGAATTAATTCTATTCTGTTTAAAAAAGTTCTAAAGAAATAGAAACAAATATGAGACAATTTAAAATAATATTTCTTTCAAAGATTTGAAATTAAAACGTTTATATTGTTTCAATTTATAATTTAAAATCATAATATAAAACTTGCAATTTATTTAAAATAAAATACATTTTGTATTTAAGTATAAACGCCTATTTGAACATATATAAGTCATTTGAATTATATTAGCTTACTGAACGATAAAAATGTATTTTAAGTAAAATAATAATATTGTTAAATTAATAAATTGTTAACAAAAATTACAATTAAAATGTTACAATAACTATATAGTGTTTGACATATAACATAACAAAAAATATAATTATAATATGATCAAATGTTTACAATTTCGATTATATTTAATTAATTTGACAACTTGTATATTTTCACATTTAGATGTGATTAATAACACCAGTTAACAACTACATTAAACAGATTGCGAATTATACAATTTTTGTATTTGAAATGAGTATTATTTAAATTGCAACTGAATGAAATAAATAAAAAACAACAAATATTTTTATATCAAAATCTATTACTGTTTCGTTTGTATTGTATAACAAGACTTTTCATGATAATTTTTAAATATATACATGTTGTCAACAATACATTAATGCATAGTTGATATTTCTTATAATAACAGTGTTGATATTTCTAATTTGTTTTTTTTAAATGTTATTGTTCAAACTTTTTTATTTATATTAAAAATATGAATAATTGTTTATACTACAAGTTTTCTCCAAATAAAACTATTTATTTTGTTTAAATTTTATAATAAAGTCTGTCTAAAAATGTTGTCCGTTTGTAAAATGTTGTCCACTTGACAAAATTGTACACAAAATAACCTGAAAAAATTGGGAATAAGGAAAAAACGTTCAAATTTCAGTAAAAAATATGAAATGTTTTGGGAGTGTTTCGAATTGTTTCCCGAAATATTCTAGTTTAAATGGTCCAAAAATGCCCGGACAACGTTGAAGAGCGGACAAGGTTATTAGACTGACTATATAGTAAAAATAATAAGACGATTTTCAATTTTATATTACAATTCTAAATTATAAATATTTTTATGTTCAAAAACATATTATACCAAATGATAAAAATATTATAAAATATTAATACTATTATTTTTACTGTTTAAAAAAAACATGTCATAATTTTAAATAAAAAAACTTAAATAAATAGAGTCAATCGATAAACGTTGTCTGTTCCCCAAAAGTTGTCTTTTTGACAAAAAATAATTGATTTTTGTTTCAAAAAAACGGGAATTAGGTAAAAATAAAAAAAACTGGGAATATGATTGAAACAACGATTTTTGAGTTTTTTAAAAAAATCCCGAAATATTCCATTTATAATGGTCTAAAAATCGGCAGACAACGTTACAGACCAGACAACATTTAGAAAATAACTCTAATATAATATTAAATAATGAAAAATAGTTTGTTTTTTTTAATAAAAAATAATTTTTCAAAAATTGGTTAGCTTTTGATAAAAATAACGAAAAGTTAAAAAAATGAAATATTTTGTCAAACAAAAAAAAACAAATAAAAATGAATATAGAAATTTTTTAAAAAATGTTATTGTTCCAACGTTGTTCTTCATTTTCAAATTTTGAACACTGGAATAGACTTCGGGCCTAATATTTTTTACTAATGATCATTAGTATTAAAAACGCCAAAGAATCGGGTAAAAAATAACATCCCGTTTTAATGGCGTTTTAAAAAACTAATATTTTATAACAAAAGGCGCGGGCCCGAAGTCTACACTGGAATGTATTAGAAAATTATTCAATAAGCGTGATAATTAATTTAGATTTATTTATTATTATTATTAACAATTAATTAAAAAACGATTGTCTATTTAGTTTATTTTTAATTATCAAATAAGTTTTTTTTATATTATGACTTTTTATATAAATTGTTTTCCATTTTTTTGTAAAAAACAAGGTAAAAACACCAACTCCAATTTTGTAATTTCAAAACACAGGTATTTTTCACATCATATTACAGTTGACCAAATAATAGTCAGAGACCAAATAATTGTAAAAAATAAAATAAATAGTTTTAAAACTTTAATTAAAAACTATTTTAAAAATAGAAATTAGTTTCTTAGCATTATTTTGTGTACCTTTTTTTCACCTTTTTTAATTGGTTATTTCCAAGGTAATTAACGGGAAATACATACTTCTGACGATTATTTGGTCTCTGATAATTACTTGGTCAACTGTACAAATACAAAATAAAAAGGTTTTATTTGTAACAAATTATTATTTTGGAATACGAACCCTTCGAAAAATATTTTAAATTCACCAACACGACCCCAAACCAAACTTTAATACTTTTTTATTAATAACAACTAGTATTTCAACTTTTCAAGACTTTACACAAAGATAGTTTTCTATCTCGTGAAATAGCAAAGTGGTATTTAAAAACTTTCTGTGCATTTGTTTATTAAAAAAATCCTTTAGTGAACTGCTTTACAATTGAATGCCAATTCTTTTCACTCTTGTATTCCTCATCCCCATGGTGTACTCAGAAACACTTTCAATCATCTTAGTGACCGCGCCGTACAAGAGGAAGAACACATTAGACCGATCCATGCGAGACTTATATGAAGCCCTTCACTACATCCCGAAAGATCTGACAATTTCGAAATTTTATTTTGTCCAGGGCTGTGTCACTGAATGCCAATTTCCAAAGTTGGACGCGTACGTAGCAAACTTCTCTGAAAGTTTTAAGAACATAAATTTTGTGAAGATTAACCCACACCCACAAGACAAACACGGGACTAACATCTCGTCGTGGCCTCCTGAAGTCTTGTCGACCACTTTCCATCGTACGGGAAAGCCCGACTGGATCTTCCCAAATTACGTGAAACACATGACACTCAATTTCTTCTTCACAGATACACTGAGAATTGCTATTAAAGAGACTCAGAGCGACTATTACCTCTTCTGTGAAGACGACCAGTCCTATGAGAAAAACGCTTTTGACGGAGTTTTAGAGTTAATGAGGCGAAAACCAGTGAAGAGATGCTTCTCAAAGATTTGTTTGACTCGAACGAGTGCTTTCTCTAAGAAGATGAGAGTCGATCCAAGTGTCAAAAGAGTCTGGGGAGCTTTCGGAGTGCTGAGGGATAAGAGTGAAGCACTCGAATTTCTGAGGTGGATCAAATTTAATTATATGTCTGAGTCTCAAGACACACTGGGAGAGTATATGTGTATGACTGAAAACAAGTTCGTCGAACTCAATTTGGTCTCAAGACACTTCGGTTTTGATAGAAATGTGTAAAGTCCTTTGACTAATTCAAGTCGTATTAAAACGACTTGTTGAGTGTAATGTGTTGGATGTTCAAGTTAGTTTAATATTGTAAAAAAATATTATTAATAAAATAATTAAAAATTTAATTAAATTATAATATTATAATAGTATTATTATAATTATAGTTATTATTAGTATTTAATATTTCAAATTTTAATAAATTAAAAAAATATATGATATAACTTGGTTATATAATTATATTTTAACTTTATCCATTCTTTGAGATTTTTTTAAAGTAAAGTCATTCTTTACACCTTTTAAATTTGACGTGTCAGTGCAACTTTTTTATTGTATAATTATAATAAAAAAATTATTTTATTTTTATAAACGAGATGTTTAACATTTGCTCCATCCACAATCGATATACAACACTGTTATATTTGTTCTGTATGACAATTGGAATTCTTTGTTTTTAACACGTTTCCTTGTTTCCCTGTTAATTTTTTTTATTAGGCAGTGTTATTTTTTTCTTTTTTTGTCGTTTGGTCTTTTAAAAAAGACTGATATTCCTGTTTTATTTTTTCTTAACATTTTTCTGCACATGGATATTATTCAAACCAACTAACAAATAAGAACCAGTTTAACTAAGATATTATATCGAAGATATAATTTTAATATTTTTTCGGGATTTACGCAATAGAAACATCAGAAATCCCGATACATATATATTTCAAGCCAATAAAATTTTTAGTATTAGGCGATGTACTTGGAGTTTCCAAAACAGATTCACTATCAAGTACATTTCAACCACCTTAAATGTCATTGTTATTGAATATATAAATTAATATATACATTACATATAACAAACATGTTTACTTATTGTTGTAATACATTCTATAACACAGTTTGTTGTAGTTCAATTTTTTGAAAAGATAATAGTTTGCTGGCTTGTTTGTTTTGCGTTTTTTCAATTCTCCGTAATAAGTTCCGTTGTTTTTATACAACTTATTTGTGTGATTGTTTTTCATTTTTTTTACTAAAAATCTATATAAAATTCAATTTGATTATTTTTGAGATGTAAACAAAAATTCTGAGTTGGTGAAAATAAATTTTGAAAAATATAACAAACGATATAGTTCTTAAAAACAACTATATTTTATGTTTCAAAAAATAAACTAATTATTAATTAGTGATAAAAAAATAGCGGAATAACAAAATCGATTAAACTATTGAAACAAACACCGTTGTATATTTTCTTTCAAATATAATATATATTTTTAAACATATTCAATTTGACAAAAAATTTAATTTGAATATTGTTTCTAAAACAACTTGTCGAAAATAAAGAACTATCACTCCAACTATCATCTTCGGGACAACATCGTTTTCGTTGTTGTTTGAAAACAGTAAAATTTTGGTACTTTTACAAAGTCGTTTTTTGCTATCAATAAAATGGTATAATTACATTAATATCATAATTAATTTATAAAATCAAATGAAAATATTATCATAATATACATTCAAAGTAAATGGTTTAATATTAATAAAAAAATAGTAAGTAAATGGTTTAGTTATTCAAAAAATAGATTTAGGCAAAAACAGTATTATGGTAAAATAAATTAACAAAAAAAAACACAAAAATAAAACCTGTTAATGCTTTTCATTAAAACAAGCAGTAAAACCTATCATTTAAATATCGAGTTATATTTTTGTCGATTTACAACCCAATTTAACTTTTTGTTTTTATAATTGGTATTGTTTAAAAAGGATTTTCACTTTGTTATGAGTTAAAAACAAAGAAAAATAAAAGGCACACTTGTTCGAATTGACTTTAATTATTTTTATATTTAGACAATACTTTTTATAAAATGTATTAATAATTTATTTATATTTATTCATCTACCACTTGACTACAGTTTGGCTATTAAACCTTAGCCCAGCAAATTAACCTTAGCCCAAAGAAAAACTAATTATTTTCTATTGTTATAGAAAATAATAAAATATACCTATATAAAAGTCAATTCTCTAAAATATTTGTTTTTAGATAAAAACCTGTGTTTTTACAGAAAAAGATGGGAAATTCTTTAGGCTAAAGTACATTTTCACTACTGTAACTCTGGTATATATGAAAACAATAGAAAGAAATTTAAATTATCGAAAAAGTCGATTTTTAATCAAAATCACAAAACAAGTTAATCAAACAATTTTTAATCTTTTTTACAAAAAATACCATTTATAATAAATCAATTCATGATATTTCAAACAATAAAAATTGATAGCAAATAACGTATTAATAACGTATACTCTATGCGATGACAATTTATGTATTTGCGCAAATTAAAAACGTGAGGTTTTGGATATCGATAAAACAACGATTGATAAATAAACAAATTTGTAAAATAAAATCATTTTTGTTTTTAAACGGTTTTTTATTTTTCAAAACATATATACACAAGAAATATATGTTTATATTCTTATTTTTTATTATACAATATTAATTCTCAATAAATGAATCTTTAATTTAATAATCAATTTTATATATTATTTGGCGTTTTTGTTGTGTTTTGACGATTTTTGATATAATCAATTATTAAAACTCATTTTTAAAAATTCTTTGATAATTATATTTATAAAATTTTAAATCAATAGTGGCAGTGCTATAAATATCTCTTAGGATGGTAAGTCATGTAACAAACAGACATTATCAACACAGACTTAAACATCTAAAAAGTGAAATGACGTGTTCCCATATTCAAAAATAGTAACTTACTCAATATACATTTCAGATAGATGTAAAGGTGTAAACTTTCTATTTCTGTCATCCTCAGAAAATAATTGCCATCCTCAGAACTGTAAATCTGTTTAAAACATAAGTTAATATCAAAATGAAACAATCATATTAAAATGTACACAATATGATTAACTTTGTTATTACAATAAATTTGAATAATTGCATAAATTACAAAATTATTTATAAATTTGTTATTTTAAAATTGCATTTTAGTAAATCAGTGTTTTTGACTTTTTCAATTTTCATTTTGATTAAAAACAATTATCAATTTAAACGTAAATTTTAATAATTTTGTTATTAAAACAAACTTGGAAATAATCTCAATAAGTTTATAATCATAATATGAACAAGTTTAATTTACACTTTGTTATTTCCCGTCTCAAGTTAGCGAGATATAATTATTGTTTTTGTTTATTAATTGTTGTGGCGATTTTTTGAAGGTTTTTAATCTTTTGGGATTTACGACAAATTATTACCATTTTGTAAAATTCCAACTTTGATTCGAAATATCAAGTGTAAATTATAACTTGAATTATGAGAGTGGGCCTTATGGGGAACTGAACTTTATGGATTTGTTTTTTGTATCCTCAGAAAAAATATTTTTTAATAAGGATAGCTTTGATCCTGAGGATACACCTTATCCTCAAGAAACCCTTTATAATCATTTGACATGGATTTCAAACCTTTTTATTATTTTTTAATTATTTTATAAGTTTTTCAACTAATAATTAATCTTATCAGTTCAAGTTTTTTGATAAATGTTTTAAATCACCTTTAAAAATCATTAAAATTGTTTTTGAAAAAGTGCAATTAAACCTGACAATTTCATATATATTAAATGATTAGAATTCAGAGTGTACTGTACAACCAACTTGTTATAAAAATCGAAACATTAACACAACTATTTTATCATGACGTTTATAATAATACAACAAAAACCAAAGCAAATTGTTTTAATTTTTAAAACAAGAACGCAATGATAAATGCAAGGAATGCAAAGATCTCAAATGCACTTGCAGAATAAGTGTAGTAAATATCAGTATTGGTTAAACATTTTTCAAGTTCAAAAACTTGGGCTTCTTGAGTGGTATCAGCATCTCCAGTGCAGTCTTCTGTTTTATATGGTGTCATTGTTAACTTGTCGTCTTTTATTTCTGCCTTGTAAGAAGCAAAATAGTTCGACTTTTTAACGCATTGTGGATATAACGTTTCATAAGGATGACCATTACTTTCACTGATTTTACAGTCACTCAAATCAAAATAATTATATTTAACAAAATAATACTCTGGCAAGTCACTTTGGATTTTGTAACCATCTAGCGTTTCGGGTATTTTTTCCCAATCGCCACATTTTTTTGAACCATATAATATAAGATTATCACCATCTTCTTCAATTTTAATGTATGCACTGGAACCTTCACTGTAACACTGGCCTAATTTTATTACTAAATAAGATCCATCATAATTGGTATCGATAATGTAATTTGCTGAAGCTAACGTTATTAAAAGAAGAGTGAACATATGTTATTTAGAGGTCAAAATTTGCTTTTATACAATTACTTTTATATATTTATATTGTTTAGCAACGAGAACCTGTTGATGTTTTTAGATTATAGGGGGCTGTGAACTAGTTGGAATTTATAAACTAGTGAAAGAATGCTTCAAAACTCCCAAATAATTTAAATATAAAACATAATCGATTTATTAATTTTGTTATCGTTTAAAAAAACAATAACTTTTGAATGTTTGTTTTTGTTAACTTTTTTGAATGATTTTAATTTATTTGTTTGTGGAAGCATGGTTAGTCAAAAAACCAAACAATAGGCAGTAGAATTGAAATATTTAATATAAAAAGAAAAAAATATCAAAAAAGCATTTTAAATGAAAAATTCAAAAATCATTTACAACTAAAAAAAATTGCCGTAACAATAAAAAAATCCAAAAATAATTAAGATGAATTAGTTGTTATCGATTGTTATATATAATATAATTAATCGAACATTCCGCATATTTTTAATATAATATAGATATTAATAATGATACTATACCGTATTTTTATTTTTTTGGTGTTATAAAAATTTACTCGAGTAAAATGGTTGTATTTGCAGAATAAAACAATTAAAAATAATTAACATACATTGTTTCCAATAATTTACACGACATAGTTATAAACATAATTTAACGTTTTAGTATATAAAAATATATACATTAATGAAAATACAAATGTAATAGTTGATTT